AAATAAATAAATAAATAAAGGCCTGGTGCTGATGTTAAAAAGCGGACACCAGCTTGGTACAACAAAGCTGTGGAGCACAAAGAAGAACCAATAACACGGAGCTAGATCTGCATTGGCACCATGTTGGTGTAAAAGATAATAAAGATAATGTCAATAAAAAGTAGCACACTCGTCTCCTTCACTGGGAGAAACCTCAGGTAAAGAAGACACATGCTCAGAAAAAAGCTGTTGTGGAGAGGCATGTGGCTCAGGGTCGGCACTCCAGCGTCTCACTGTCGACCAATGAACCCTGTCAGTGCAGGTAAATAATCTACCTGACGGTCGCTCACAGATCATACTAACGCTGTGCTTCTGTAACGACCCGACACACTGGAACTAGAACAATTTAACTGGACAACGACAGATTCTACGTGTGATTAAGTATCGAAACTAGTTTCCCTGTTTGTCAGTGTTTTATTTTGTGCCCTCCACGTTGTTCTCTGACTCTTCCTGCTCCAACATAAAAAAGGTTTCCTGTGTCTCAGATAGACAGGATTCAGAGCAAGTGTTAAAGTGAGTGGGATTATTTATCAAGCCTTTCTGTTACACACACACACACAAAAAAAGCCTCCTCCCTTTAGCTCACACACACACACAATCCACACTTTGTTTGCTTCCTGAAAGTTGAAGCCAAAGAATTTCATGTTGCACTTTGTTTTCTGCAAAGAAAACCGTGTCCATGGCGACGAGGTCCGGCCTCCTCGTGTGGTGAAATAACTGTTGCCAGCTGTTTACTGAGACGTGTCGGGACCCGGTCAGTTCGTCTCAGCCAATCACACGCGCCGGCTTTAAGTAGGACCCGGCCATCTGAACCAGAACAGGAGGAGCTGAGAGACTTACTCTGCCTCTCCTCGCACGGCCACAGCAGTAGGCTCCTGCACGTCCAGCTGAGGGTTGGTGTAACCCAGAGTCCCTGAGTAGTTCACATCCTGATGAGGGGACAGCAGAGGACAAAGACTCAGAGCCTGAACTCAACCCCACCCAAACCAGACTCTTTCTCCCTTTATTAACAGAGCTTATTCGCCTGCCAGTCAGTCACCTTGAGGACTGAAGGAGCTGCTGTCTCTTTCACAGATCCCGGTTTCCTCAAGTCTCTGTTGTCCACACGGTGGCGCTGCCTCACTATGTACTCGTACGTACTGAGCCTGTTCCACACTGAAACACACATAAGTAAACATACATTTCCCCAGACCCTTGAACCCCGACATGGCCTTTAAAGGTCTGTCTTTGTGAAGAGAAAGAGGAAGTGGACTAAATGTCCTCAGAGGACCAGTTAGAAACACACACCCACAGGATTTGTTCTGAAACACTGACGGGGTCTTGCAGCATTACCATGAGGTCAGAAACAAAGATTTAATAACCTCCGTGAGAGCGTAGACAGCACGAGGAAGGAAAAACTCTTTATAGCTCCTTCTCCTTCATGCTGCTAGATAAACAAATAAATGTACGATATACTGCCAGCATCACCTGAATGTGAGTGAAGTTATCAAAGAGAA